AGAACAGGCCACGAACTGCGACAGAAATCCGTCAAAGAACAAGCTAGGAAAGCGGGAACAGCGACTTCATGAACCACACATCCCAATATAAGACACCTCTCCCTTCTTATGGAGCGAGACAAAATCCTATAGATACCTCTCCGACCTCTCCCAAGACAGCCGACAGCCTCACAAAAGAAAACAGATCTTGCCCTTCACAAAGACATGGCTGTGAGTCCAAACCCTGGTAGGTTGAGCATGTCAGGGGGGCCTCTGTTCATGCTCGGTGGGAAAAAACGAAGGTCTTCTGTTTTTGACCCAGCTCGCCACAGAGCTCGGAACTCAAAAAGCCGAAGCAAACGAAGCAAACGAAGAAACGTAATCCTGCCACAGGTCAGGCCTGGTCTGGCTACACGGCCAGGTCGATTTAAGTGATGGGTTGGGAAGTTCTATACTACACACTTCTCATCACTTTGGTAGGTGTAACACTGGTATAACTGGAAGGATTGTTTTTCATATCTCATCAAACCAGGAGACAGTTCTTGATAGTTCTTGTAGTTATTTTGCTTCCTTAGGATGGTCCGCTGTGGCTCCATGCAGCCAGTCGCCGCGCCGCTCCGTCAACTGCTCGCCGAGGTGCGGCAATGATGTCAGCCGTGCGTGAGGCTCTGAGCAGGTCCTGCCGACATGGCGTGTGTGAACATGAGGGGATTGAGAGTGGGGATTGAGGTACTTGACAGACCTTGTTGGCATTCAGCTGAGTATGATTTTTAACCTCGTTGATTTGGACCACGGGCAAGCCGACCGCTGGGTCGAAAGTAATATCAAATGATCGACATATTGATCGGTGGTTTTGGGAATATTTTGCAGCGGTGAAAAAAGGGAACCACCAAAAGATAGTTAACATATGCTAAAAGGATGGTAACAATAGTTGTGAGTTGTGACCTGGTACATCCCCAGGTCAACCCTGAGAAGTAAAGGTACGAGAAACTTTCATCATCTTTATAACATTCATCTTCTTTTCATCCACACCACCCTACAGTAGGACCTAGTCCAGTAGCTGACTTGTAAACTCCACGTAAACGTCCAAAAGAAATCAAAAGAACCTCTTCTTTTCACCCACCAAGAGGAGGTCGACCACCAAGAATCACACCTTGAGACCACGCCCACCACCCCCCGACGTCTGTCCGAGGAGACGACTGCGTCGAGCGTGGGCAGAATGCCCAGCTTCGAGAGAGCCAAAGCGGCAGCCTTGGAGCAACAACCCGACGAGCACGGAAGAAATCCATTGTTCCCTAAGAATCCGGGCCCTCAAACAGATAGGGTTTTGAGGGTCCGGACCCCTGCTATGGAGGGTCCGACCCCTGCCATGGAGAGCCCAAGGATTCTTAGGGTTGGTGTGTTTTTGGTTTTTACTTCGAAAAAGAAATACGGGTGTTCCAGTTCTGGGTGTTCTTGTCCCAAAGACGACTATATAATGGGACTGGCATATTTACCGCCCCATCGGGGTGGTTGAAAAGGGGTCAATGTATGTCAATATGCCAGTCCCATGGAGTGTCTGGGCATTGCGTGTTTGTTTTTGGATGTTTTTGGGTAACACGCGTTCCGCTCGCAATGCTCGAACTCTGGAACCTCCAAATGTATGTCGGTTCAAATGATGGAAGTTGGTCGAGATGGTATGAACTTGAATGGTTCTTGAGGGCGAACATCTAGATGATTGATGATTACCTGGTCATACCTGATCCAAATTTTGTCTCCAACCCCGATGCCCTGCGCAGGACCTTCAGCCGAAGGTGGCCGTATACTGGTTTCCCGAAGGCATAGGAGGCCCTACTTCTCTCCAATCCAGTTTGCCAGGATGTTGATGCGTGGAGCATCGTGGAGCACCCTGCCCAAATACGACAGGCCTATCTTGAACACCGCACCTCCGCCTGCTTCATGCCATTGTCATTGATATCAATGTCGAGCCTGAGATTCTGGAGGCTCTTGAAGGGGCGTTTCGGTCAGTGCGTTGTGGGCGAAGAATCCCAGCAAAGAGGCAGAACACATCAGCCATGTTGCAAACATACTTTCATGATGCATGGATTATTGTTACGACATGTTATGACTGTGATTGGTTGGGTGTCATCAATCATGATTCATCAATCATTGCTTTCATGAGACATGAATCACTACTTTTGCGTGTTTGGGCAGATTCGTGACGGATTCACGAAACTCCTGAGTGGGGGTTGAGCGTTTCTTGCTTCCCCCTTGGTGGAGTTGGTCCACATCTGTGACCTCACATCGGTCCCATGTTCAAAGCCCGCAAGGTCCAGGTGTTGCTTGTTACTGACCTGCAAACGGACCTGCAAACGGCCATGTGCATGTCGCCGGGTCGACTCAAATGCCTACTATTGGAATCAAGGTGCTCCCGCCTTTTGGTTCGTTTCGGGAACGCCACATCCAACGCCCTTGTCGCAGAGAGCGACCTGGTGTGTGTGCCAAGCAACTGCCCTTGGATGCGCCGCTCTGCATTCCAAACCTCAGCAGCTCTTGTGGCGTACCCCGATAACACTTCTAAAAGGACAAGGGCATCACTGTCAGTAGTGCCAATCCACCAAACCACCGAACCGTCCTGGACCGAAAGAACTGAATTGGATTGAACTGGTAAGGCCAGTTAAAATGATACCCATGTTCATGACCAAATCGGAGATCTTGGGACCTGTTTCCAGCCTCGGACGAATGTAGTAACGCCACCAGCACGTCGGCACGTCGGACATTTCGCTTAGTGAGAGTCTGTCAGTCTGTCATGATCCAGGTTCCCAAACACCAATCCATCCCAATTACCTGATGGAGTCCCGACTTCCCAACCCACCCAGGAAAAACGTCATCGCGTCCGACCAATCCATGCGTTCTTTTCAGAACGTCCATGGGACCAATCCGGAGCGACCGGACCCGGGGGTTTTCCCACCATCCGCCAGGGCCGCCAGGTCACTGTCTCACCATGCCTCCGGGCACATCGGCCATCCGTCGTGAGGCAGACCGTCACACGCAGACACTCCATGGGACTGGCATATTACAGACGTACATTGACCCGTAAAACCACCCCAATGTAGGTATATATGCCATACATGGAGTGTTTGGGACAAGAACACCCAGAACTGGGACACCGGCTTTCTGGGCGAAGTCGGGGCTTCCCGCTGGACTTTTGGAGGAAGTCTCGGTACGAGGTTTTGCTCGTTTTTGGAGAGGACATGACATGAAGGAGATTTCCTGGTCTGACCGGTGGAGCACCATCCAAAGACAAAAAAAACCAGCCATGGCAGTGGTGGATAACATGCATTCATGTCCACCTTGAGGAAGCTACCCAAGCTACTCTCTCTTTCTCATTGAGCACCATCCTGAACAATGGCCTCCTCTAGGCAACTACAAAACAATTGGTCCATCCGCCATGTGAGTGATCGCATACTACACTTTTGAAAGAATCTTGGAGAGTATATATATATATATATTGTGGACATTCTATATCTCTAAGATCCTACTTTGATAGCCTTCCGGTGGGTGTCTCAGCTGTTTGAGCTCAAGGGTTGGTCATTTAATAGTAGTAGTATCTGGCATCTGGATGTACCCCACTTTTGTCTTCCAAGTGTCCACTTCGCCTGATCCAACAAGTTACCAGGGGTTGGGTTTGTTGCCTCTCCATCCTGATCCTCTCATTCCCAACGATCCCAACGGAGCCACTCCGGTCCCCGCTGTTTGCTCGCCTGATGAGGTAGAGCCTGACCGGCCACTGTGGCCACGGTGGCGACGGGTCGCATGGACGTGACGTGTCAACTCGCTTGACAAACAGCGAGCGGACCTGGACATCGATTCACTTGACCATCTGAAGCGCTTGGTGGAATACCAGCACGTGATGCATCAGCCCTGGCCCTGAGGTCCAAACTGCATCTCCTCGATGTTACGTCTCACTTTAGAGATAGAGAGGGAGAGTGAGAGTGAGACCAGGTATATAAGCACGTTATGCAGGCTGTAAGAGCCCCCTGTCCTGCTCAGCCGCTTCCCACGAGAGCCACAGCAAAACTGTGAGGCAGAGGCCAAACAGCTTGACATGGCCAATCAGCGCGGAATTGTTTAGCAGTCTCAGCTCCTACTTATGTTCCCAACACGACCTTACTCAATGGCAGACTTTTCATGCAGTGTCTGGAAAGTGGTTCTTGGCCAAAGGTGCAAAAAAGTCAGCAATAAGTTGTTTCAAACGCAGTGGGGACGAGATCGGAGGATATCTTTGTGGAGTTGCTGTTGTTCTGTCGGGCCTGCAATAGCTGAGGGGTGCAGCACAGGGCAAACCTGGAACACATATTGTCGTATGAACACACATCCTTGGAAAACGGTCTATTGGCCACTACCTGGACCGCTTGCATTGCCGTGTATATACAGTAATTAATCTTCTGAGCTGTATCTGACCGCGGAGGAGCAAAACCACGACTTGTTGAATGGCAAAACAACATCAACCATTCTATGTGAATGTGGATCCTGAGCCAGCTTTTGGCAACTGCCTTTTGGGCTGTGCAACAAGTCAGGTGGTAACGGTAACGGTATTTTGATTGTTATGCACCAACCATGTAGCAACAAGAACCAAAACAGTGGATTCGACCGAAACATTGCCCTGGCTCCCCTAATGGGGCATGAAGGTTTCTTTGTCAGAGTCAATACCGACATCTTGAGGGAACTTAGCTTCTTTCATCTGATCACTCACATTGATTGATATGGTTGACGGACCCAAATTTTGCACCAATTCAGCTGGTATATAGATCCTGGAGATAGACAAGCACCCAAACGCTTCTGTGTAAGAAACGCTCAAAAACTCCTTCCCCAAAAGCACTTCCACAACACAATGACCAGTCGGTGGTGGTATCCAAACAGCCGACATTGCCATCCCATACCCCATCATCACCCCCTCCAAGATCCCCTGATCTCCCCTTAAAGGCAGGTACTGAGTCTTAATTGAAAAAGGCCTGTGCCCATCCCCTTGAGGTCTCAGCTGGCTAACTTGCTCATGAGTCGCATTTCGGGCTCATCGGGCCTCACCACAAGGACACGGCTGAAACAGGAGGGTCGACAAAAAAAGGCTGAAACGGTGTGTTTGTTATGGATTTGTATTATCTCTTCCCATATGTATGAAATCAATTATCACATATATCAATGATATTGATGATATTGATTGTATAGTCAAAATCAATGCAGCTCAATGGATATATATATATATATATATTAGTAATATATATACATACACTGATCAAGGGGGATACGTGAGAGAGAGAGAGAGAGAGTGGTATCAATGAAACATCACCATGATCGGCATATGCTGTCCTCAAACGGTTCGACAAGAACAAGCACAGTGTGGAAAGGCGACCAGTAGTAGTAGTAGTAGTAGTAGTAGTAGTAGTAGTAGTAGTAGTAG